CGCCACATCTCCACAGCGCGGCCCCCGAGGAGCAGAGGGCGGGAAGGCGGGAAGGCGGCGCGGCCCCCGGTGCCCCCCCACCCAAGGGCCTGTCCCGCCGGAGGCGGCGGCATGGCCAGGAGGAGGGCGCCCCCTGCCGTCAGGCGGCGCTCAGCAGCGGCAGCGCCTGTCACCGGCACCCGCGGCAAAGGGATGATGTGGGGAAAAAATAAAGGGTTTGTGGGCAAATCCAGCCGTCGAGACGAAGCTGGAAAAGAAATTACTTGAAAGCGCGTTTGAATAAATAAATTAAAAACCAGCCAAATGTGATGCTGTGGAAGAGAGCGACGATTAAACAAATGGGAACATTCAAAGTACATTTAAAAAATTGGGCCTATTCTGCAGTTGCTTTCTTGTTTCTATACATTTTTCTATACATTTATAAAATCTATTTTCTGTCGAGAGAAGCTACGATTTACTGACAGAAAACTGAAAGCTTAATAGAGTCTTTTCAAACTGTTTTCGAATCACCTTTACAGCGCCAGCTCTGGAGTTAAACTCTGGCGAGGAACTGCCCTCCAGTGCTTTAAGTTATTATACAGTTAATTTTCTTTGAAACTATTTTTGTCTGCCTCCCTCTAAATAGGTGGTTTCCTAAGTGAGTGTTACTTAAAGGAAACCAATCTGTTTTTCAGGAAGGGCTGATGATGTCAGTCCTTTCAACTCTGCTTTCCCATACGAATTCTTCTAGTAGAAAGAGTTTCACTCTGGGAAATAGTGAAAAGTAACGTGAAAATATTTAAAGCATCTCAGACTGCATGTTTATCAAACTTCTAGCTTTATGCTTGAATTTTAATCGTGTTGTGATTGTAACAACTGAAGGAAAAGCAAGAGAAATCCTTTTTGATTTTTGAGACAGAAAAAGATTTTGCAAAGAAAAATGTGCTAAACCAAAATATTTATAAAGAGTTAAGTCTGAATGCAACATATACAGAGCAACATGTTTTTTGGTAATTCTAAAATTACATACTCCATTTCAGTATAGGTTTTAAATGTGAAACAACCACTGTGTATCATGAATGGTCTACTGGCAAAAATACACCATTTAAATAAATACTTCAATCTCTAACAAAACGACAAGATAAATTCAGAAACTACCATATTATTATTGAATGTTTTTAGTAGGTGTGGATGTAGCTATAGGTCCAATGTGTGCCTAACTTACTCTATTACTGTTTGTTCTGATACTGGAAATTCCTGCAGTCAACAACAGAAAAAAACCTCCAAGTAGAGCTAGAGAGACTTCAACGTACTGATGGTGCAAGAAGTAACGACAATAACATACTGTGAATTTTAATTTGCAGAATAAAAATAGTAAGAGTTATGTAGAATGTTCAGTCTTCAAAGTAAAGCTCTACATTTTCACAGCTAAATGCTCCTTGCTATTCACATGTAGGCATCCTGAAGACAACTGGGGATACATTTGTACAATCCAGGACATAGTTCTGCTTTAACTCCTCACCCGTAAATCCACACAGCGTACCTGTGAGACAGGTGAGTACCACAAACCCCATTTTATACAAGTAAAAAGGTCACATAAGGCCATATTCCACCCTAATGTTCAGCCCCACAACCAACTGATGTCGTAACAGCCTTATAATAGTAAAAGCCCATAAAAGGATCCCAACCCAACTCAGATATTACTGAAAAAGCGCTCTGGCAATCTGATGGAATGACAAAAATATAACCTCACTGGATTAACAGACAGAATAACCCAAACAAATCTGTGTTACCTATCAAAGGTGCAAAGGAAATCTCTCTTTATCATCCTCTATTTAACAGTTTACTTCATTCTGCTAAAGAGAACAAAGCCAAGCTATGATTCATTTGGAAACAAAATCATCCCCACCCCAGTGAAGGCTTACACTGTGTGGGTAAACAGCTCGTAGGGTACTCCGAACAAATGTAAATAGATTGCCTTGCTACCATACACACAGCAAACAGCTTCATTTTGAAACTGGGAGTTACAAAACAAGTGAGAAAAATATTACAAAGCTTGAACTCGGAAAATATTTACAAGAACAAAAGCTAATCACAAGTTAACATCAATAGGTTACAATTGCTAATCAAAAAGAAGATAACAAGCAACTGCTTTGCTCACACAAGTCCGGTCTTTTGACCTAAGGCTGTAGCAACGCCATTGTAAGGAGAAAGAAATATTAGCAGATAATAGTAACATCAGTTTTTTCTAATTTAGGGCTCAGCAAAACTTTTCTAGATTGCAAAAGACAGGAAAGGAAAATCATGATGACACGACTCCACACGAAAAAATCCTCCAGAAATAAAATCAGTTCACCACAATCTTCTCTGAATCTGTTGCTTAATGAACAATTTGTCCAATCTCTGGGCTGATTTCCATTATAATCAGCTACATTTGGAGGGATGATTTAGCAAAGTAAACAGTTACTCTTCTTGAAGAAAACCACCAACTTCAAGTAAAGCCACACAAGGGGAACACAGACATTATTCTTGCTACACAGCAGAAAGCTGAGAGACAAAATGAGCTGAATACAAGTTACCAAGGGTCACAGAGTGAGTTAAAAAGTGAAGTGCAGAATTAAACCCAGAACCTCTCTCTTCTCCCAGGTCCTCCCATAACTCCTCCAAACAACAGTAATTTAACATTATAATACGACCAGGAGCTGTTACAATCTCAGCAAACACATCTTAGCTCACAAATTCAAATAATCGCTGGTCTCTGGCTAATTGCACACAAAACCCCTCCACTGAAGTTCACTGTGAACTTCAGGGGTTTTTCCCAAGCTGATGATAAATGGCTTTTTATAAAAGGTACATAATACGGCTCAACATCCTGCCTGCCTTCAGCCACGTAAACTGAAAGATTACTGAAACGAAAAAGCAGCAATGATATTACTAAAAACACTATATTATGAAATTATTCTTTTATAAAATGGGTTATTTAAAACCAAACTTTTTTTAAGTTTCGAAATTTTTTTAGAGACAACTCCGCTATCTCCTCCCACAAGTTTCTCATGCAAAATTTTCATATGAAGGTTTGCAAGTTACCAACACGCAGTCTTCGTCTGTGTGGCCCTTCTACACTGTAAGAGAGTCCATGAAGTTCTCTGGAAAAAGACATTACCTTCCTGCTCTAATTCTCAGCACCTATGTGCAGCCTTCAAATGGAGCTAACTCTTTAAACAGAGCTAATTTTCAAGCAATGGTGACTGCAGAGAGACCTTGAAAAAATCTGATTTATTTATTATATTTCAAGACAAATGGTTGAAAACTGAAGCCTTGGAATGCTTGAGACACTCCTGGAAATGCTGCTCCCTTTCAGTAACTCGTCCACACGTGACTTTCTCCTACCTAGAGGATCTGTCCACCACTGAGGATCCTACAGCAAATTAAACTGCTTTTTCTTCTTAAAAAAAACCTGTCAAAACTTCACGTGTACCTAAGAGCACTGTAAAGGTGACAACTTACTGCCACTTCCCTTGACAGAAACCAGAATTGTTGGATGAAAGTGCCCAAATTGAGACTTGCTTCCTCTCCCCTACGTGATGTGTCAAGGGCTACAAGAGATCGGATGTGCCATAGTAAACCCTCGCAGCACTCCCCACCCGTTTCAAGCCTGACACACGCTGAGAGACAGTGAAATGGTCGATACACAAACGTCTCCAAGGTGCAGGAAACTACAGATCACATTTTGGGAGCCTTCCAGTGGCTCTGGGCAGAAGAGCACGGCTCCAGATCTGCTACGCAGAAAACTTGGTTTAGGAAAGTCCAAAGGAAGGTGAAAGGACAGAGGCTTCTTCTGAGACAACTCTGGTTCCCTTAATAATCCATGAGTCATAAGTTCCTTGGACTCAGAAACCCCACAAAGGGTCTCTCTACAGCAGCAAGGATGTTGATGACGACAGGACACAGCTGGGCCTTCACAAGCACTGCCAATCCTACTCATCGCTCAGGAACAGGGACTGCTCCTTCCCACTTTTAACACTCTCAGACCAGAAAAGGGTAGCGGCCCATATCAAACTGCTATTTAAACTCACACTTCAATGGAAGCTGTGACTTACTCTTAATAGAAAGGAGGGGTAAGGATGCTGCAAATTCTGGATCCGCACCGAGTAGCCTCTAGTACAGACTTCATGAAAGAGAAGGGCAAAAAGGACAGCAAAGACAAAACTGAAGAAGGGATGACAATGATGGTTTTTGAACCTTTTTAAAAGGCTCTCCTTCACACCCTTTTAGTTTCTCCAAAGCACGTCCACCAAAGGAGTAGGATGCACAGATCAATTCTTCCAGATGTTTTTTCCTTAACACACTATTTGTCACATTGCTCTCACACACAAAATCTATGCCATCAACTTCCCATTGCCTTGTGTCCACATTTCTCCCCAAACAGTATTTATTGTGGATATCCAGATGTGCTGGATCATGATCATCAAGGCCCATGAGCAACGAGAATTTTAGGAAACTGCATGTAAACGTAGACCAAATTACTGACCTTGTGCTAGATGGAAACAAAACTTAAAGACCCCAAAACTTTCCATTTAGAGTGGAAATTATTAACATATCCATGATAGCAGAGTTTGCTTAAGCAAGCTGCAAAATTAGAACCATCTTTCTGAGGTATTTACACCTTGGCTCATTCCTATAATATCTGCATATGTTACATGCTTTTTCACAATACCTGCAGCACCATATTTTACGAAACTCATTTTTTCAGGGCACAAACTACATGGGTGAGTAGAATGAACCAAATCAATGTTTCTGTTGCTCATGGTTGTTAGCAAACGCTACTGAAACGTGAAGCTGGAAGACTATGAATATCTTCAGGGCAGCATCTCCAAAGGTATTGAGGAACCAAACCTTTTTGAGGCAGGCAGCTACACAGCAGGTACTCAAACATCCTAGAGGACGTGGGCACTACTGACTCAAGGGGAATGGCTTCTTGACAATGTAAATGGGAGGAAATAAGAAAAAACGTGATTTACCATGGAGCGGTGAGCCAGACGGGCTGCTTGACAGGCCTGGAACAGGGCTACAGCGTCCTCCCTGCTTGGACGTCAGCTCTTGCTCAATCTCTTCCAGCCCTGCGCTCTTCTGGAAGCGGCTCATGCGATTGACCACACGGGGCGACATGTGTGTGCGCACGCAGGGCTGCCCGCCGTAGGGGTTGATGGGAAACACGTGGGAAGTGCCTCGCAGCGTGCTGACCACAACCCAGCGGCAGTCGTGGCTGAAGGAGATGTCCTGGACCTGGAAAACACAGGAGTGAAACGGGAACGCAGTCACCAACGTTCACACCTCTAAAAGGAAATGCACTGTCATGTTTTAAACACAGCTCTTAATTGAATTTTTTGCAATAACTTCAATTTCTGCACATATACCAATGAACTTAGTATTCAGGCTATTAGAAATATAAGCTGCAGTATATACCCAGTCCCAAATTATGTGTACTTCTCAAAATATTCTGAGATTTTTCTTTTCAACCAGCCTGAGCTTATGAAAACAAACCATGCTGCAAAGTACCAAAGAAAGCCACAGGAGCTTGGTGTAATTTTCAAATAGAATTTAGTTCTATAACGAGTTGGGGAATAATTTCAATTACATGTTTTGTTATTTGCTTGTTTACTTTAATTTTCAGAGATTACCCAAAAAGGGGAAAAGGGAGGGATGGGAACAAGAGAGAGATCTCAACACTGGGTCTGATTTTGACAAATACTGGCACTCAAAACTGTATTTTAAGTCAAGAGAAACACCACGTCCTCATATCACATAACTTAACAAACCAGAAATCAGTGGCCAGTATTTTCAAAATACGCCCAGAACTGTCTCTGATCCTGCTACTGGCAGTTCATCCCTCAGGAGAATTACCACATATCCAGGTATCCTATGCCTTTTTTTGGTTTTAAAAATTTGTCAAGAAGAAACGGAACAACTTTGGCCATTTCTCTATATAAAACCACTCAGTTTTACAGACAACAATCCTTATTAATCAGCTATTAAAGTCCTAGGAAAGACCTCAGTTAGGTTTCTTCTTACGCATACAAATACTTCACTACCACTTAAGAAACACAAGTTTTATTTTAGCTTAAAACGGTCAGTTTTGAAGCAAATAAAAAAGCAGAGTTAAATATTTTCTACTATATTTACTCCTTGCACAGATCTCAGATATGAAGTCCAGAAGGATTTCATTCTCTTTTAAGTGTGCTTTACACAACACTTTGATGGAAAGCAAATTCCTGTTCCTGAAGGAATGCTTTAAAAGCGAGATTAAAGTTTGTTTCCAACCCTGTACTGGCAGACAACTCAAGAAAACAAGTAGTCTAGGTTAAAATGATTTATCATAGGAAAAAAAAGTCCTAAAACAGATCTTCCAAAAATGTTTTTAAAGGTAAAAGCTGACTAAAAAGAACCACGTATGCAAGTGGGATTTAACACAGCAAACAAAGATACAGACAAAGGATTAGTTTTCATTATATTATTAAACAGTATAAACTAAATAAAATTCTTTCAGATTTCACTGAAGCCAGTTTTACAATACATGAGGTACTCAAATTGGAGTAAACACTGATAAAATCTTGACAAATATTCCAGAAATGCACTCCAGCTATTCCAGACAAAAGCAGCGAGTATTCATCAAAGCGCAAGTTGCCCACTGAGCCCCGAAGCCTTTGAGATAAAGAAAGGATTTGTGTCTTGTGACAAGACATTTGGCTGACAGACTGTCACCACACAAAATGCTCCATCAACATTATGTAGATAAACCAAAAAACAGCGCCACACACCTGCTCTTTCCAGTGAGGGGACATACCCAAATGATCTGCTACCGATACAGCTGAATGAGCTCCCCAAAACCTGACGGCTTTAGCACTTGCAGTGATTCTGGTGCTACTGACACAAAGTCCCAGCACTTTGAGCTCCCCGTTTGCCTACAAAGTGTTTCACCTTAATAGATTGCTCAAAAGGGATTAGAGACCCCACAGGGATTAACAAGAGTCAAAGAAAGAAATCCCAAAGCCGTGGAGTCAGTGAAAATCTATGGCACCAGGAGTATTTAAATACTTGCTGGTTATAGAGGCAATTTCTACCGGTCAAAACAGAATGTAAGAACCTTATATAAATTGCCGTTCGCAGGAAGATCACTAACAACACAATCATTGCGCTTGTTGAAATGTATTTCCAATTCTCTCAAAGGCCCGGTTTCCTAATTTCTAGTATCATGAAGAATGGCCACGTCTGTTGTTAGATGCTGACCCCTCTGAACACATCACTGTTCACCAAACATTCGGCATTCATTTTAGATCCAGTTTTAAATTCCCTTCCTGATCTGTAAACCCATCCATCTGTCCCAGCCTCAAGAGAGCAGCTTTTCCCTTCCTTCCCCATGCCTCCATCACAACCTATTTCTGTCTCTCTCTGTAGCTTCATGCTCTGTGCATAAGTGGTCTCCTCTGCACCCACAGCTTTTAGGAAGGGACTTTATAGATCTCCCTGCAAACTGATGCCTTCGAGTCATATTTACAGGATGGGCTCCGGCCGCCTGTGCCTCTGCCATCTCTTCCCTCCTGCACTTCAGCTGATTTCACAGCCAAACTCTTGAATTATTTGGTAGAGGACATTTCTATGAGATGACAGAAAAAAACCAGTCCTCTCTCGCTGTACTGCAACACGGCAATGTATATGTTTATTATATATATTAATATGTAATTAACACTATATCAATACTCAATTTTATATTAATACTATATTAATACTCCATTTTATATTACTATTCTATTAATACTATATTAATACTCACTTTTCAGTATGCATGCTTAGGATTATGTAGTTTTAAAGTTACATGCAACAGCCCTGGCACATGACAAGAGACTGGGAAGCAATCGCTACCGGGTGTTTTTTCTTAATATGCAAACGTTACACAAAAAAACCAAACCACCTATTCCTGCTCTTCAGGAAGAAAGTCTGGAACAGCGTAATCCAAAACACTCCCTTTAAAATAACGGCCACAATCACTGCTGCAGTTGCAGAGTGGGTATCGTGGTCATGACTACTTAAAATATGGCTGAACCACAGAGGCAGAGAACAAACAGGTTTTTAAGACTCAGTAATAACAAGGAAAAAAAAAAAGTGTTGACAGATGAGTGTGAAATGAATTGAGATTTATGGGAATACAGCTATGAAAGCCTGCTCGGCAGTGACAAGAAGTATTTTGGAAGCTACCGTTCCACAGGCAGCAATCCTACCCTGCTCCGACCAGTCCCAAAAACGGCCTCGATGGTCTGTCACAGACCAGCGCTGAGCAGCAGAACCACTGACAGGTCACGGAGGCAACTCAGAGAATATTTCCAGCTTCATACAAGGGCATGAAATAAATACGTTCGCATCAAAACAGCACAAATCCAATGCACAATGCACAATGCGCAATGCAAAGGGGTCCAGAACTTCCCAGCAGCGCTGGGATAAAGCCGTGGACCAAGCTGGAAGGAAAACGCTCACTGCAGCAGTCTCAGAAATGACTTCGAAAATCAGCTGTGTGTGTTCATGAAGAAAAGTATATATAAATGATCACATCAGACTTGCTGCTCTCCGCACACTGTTACTGTACATTACACAGAGTTCTTGACTGCTTCGAGTATAAACAAACTGCACAGTGGCCCATTAGTGGTTTTCAAGTTTATGCTAAGCGTTGCAATTTATTGCTGTCCTTTAGGCTAATGTACTACTATTTCATGTATTTATAATATATTTCTGGGTTTGTTGTTAATTATGATGTAATGTTTAGATACCAAAGATCAATCAAGACCCCGTAGTGTTTACAGATATATGTTAATGAAGTACACTAGATCTCTCCTGATGCAAAGTTTATTCTATAGCTCAAGGTCAACATCAGATTTAATACTCATGGCTGTATCTCAGAATTTTATCTATCCTTTTCTGTCTGGGCCAGAAAAGGCAATTATAGACATAAGATTTTGTTTAACTTCAGAACCTTTAAGATATCTTAAATTTCAATCCTAAATACTTTTGTGGGAACATCAGTGCTTTCTCCTAGCTTTATTTCCCTTTCTTCCTCCTAGTTTGTGAGCAGTTTGGTTACTTTAGCTTCAAGCTGCATTTCCCGCACATCCAAAATTCTCAGTGAAATCTCTGGACACTTCAAGGTCCTCATCCGAGAGCCAAGGCCCTTTCTGTCCCAAAGGGACGCACTGAAGGCAACCACAGAGCATTCCAGGGGTAACAGCACGGACCCTCCAATTCACCCACAGCCAAACCAGGTGTTCTGGTGCTCCGGTTGTACAGGAGGTCTGCCGAAATTCTGTCCGTATTTTACAGACCATTCCGCTTGCTCCACGAATCCTCCTCAGTACTTGTCAAACCCAGGAGCAGTTCTGGATGACCCTGCACCTCTTACGCTGCTGTCTACTACGGGTTCCTCTGCAGAATCTCTGTCACTTCTTCTCAGTCTTACGCTATCTTCTCCCGCTCTCCTTCATCTTCTCTTCTCCTCTGTTTCTCTTCAACTTCCACTGTACTATTTCCCTGTGTTTTGAACCCTACAATGTAAAATCCTCCAGCAAACTGAATGAAAATTCAGCTGCCATGGTCAGAGACTGCCCTGAGTGAGACAGTGGGGTAATTTAATAATTTAATCCACGGAGTCCCACAAGGACATGGCATGTGTCAATGCTCTACTGAAAAGCAGCTTTCAAGACTGTACAGATCACAAAATTATTTCTGATATTCTGAAAATCTGTGTGGAATTATCTGAACCTAAGCCTTCAAAGCTGACATATATTTACTTATTTTATATAATGTAAATCTATATAAGTTTTTGCTATAATTTTTTCCTTATTCCCACAGCTTCTCCAAGTTTCAACACAACGTTAAATAGAACATATTCACAAAACAAATTTTAAAAAATAATTCAAGCCATAACTGAAAGAAAACAAAACAGAAGTAAGGGCAGCACATAGAAAACTTATTTTAAAAGCAGCTGATTAAAAGGGGCTGTGAGAGGAACGGCTGATGACACCAGAAGTCACAGGGACAGGCGGTGACCTTGTTCACCACGACTCCAGGGTCTGACTGACAGCCTCTACCCAGCCCCTGCACTTCAGGGCTTCTCCCAGTTAATACAGCACTAACTTGCTGCGCAGCGCTTCAATCTGTGCTATCATTGACTCTCTTCCGAAGGAGAAGGAGCTTTACTGGGCTATCGCCGTACTTCTCCAGGGAAACCCACTCCTGATGCA